ACCTGGGAGGAGGCACTTGTTTTAATTACCTAGTGAATTTGATTTAATCTCCTCATTCCTTTCTTGGTAGACGCTGCAGTCTTAATGGAAAAGTTTTGCTCTCTCGTCCACGTTCATGTCCTTCATTCTACCTCCAGTGCTTGAAGAACAGAAGCATATATTGTGCAAATAGACCCCAACCTCATCTCCCAATAACAGATAAGTGTTTGAGCACAGGAGACTTTCCAAGCCGTCATCTGAGACCAAAAACAATCCCAGCTGTCTGAAGCTAAGTGGTAACTGATTTCAGAAAGTCCTGTGCAGTGTAGGATGAATGGCTCAGTCTGTCACTGAACACAATGGACAGCTCACAGTGCAACAAACTTAACCGCTTCTTGTATGAAGCAAGCCATTTATTTATACAGCACAACTCCCAGCTGAGCACAGCTGAACACTTGACATGCTAAACGTGATACAATGAATAAGTTAAAAAATAAAGATAAAAATAAGATGATAATTAAAATGACATTTAAAATAATAAAATTAGCACAAATACCAAAAAATAAAATAGTTTGGAGGTATGTAAAAATGACAACTTTATTACTGAGCCAGCAGTAAAAAGCGCCAAAATCTCCACCCCAGCACTTCCCTTCCACTTGGGTGTGAGTGGAGCCACCTGGTGGCCACAATAGTATAAAATGATAATTAGAATTAAATTTAAAACAATAAAATCAGGGTCAGACTGTGTCACATGCCAAGGAGTAAAAATGGGTTTTAAGACGTGTTTTAAAAGTGGACAGTGAAGGGGCCTCTCTAATGTGCTGGGGAGGAGAAGGCCCCGCCCCCTCTGAGTACCTCCAGGAGCAGCTGGTCAGCTGACCTGAGAGACCCGGGGTCTGAGTAAGGATGCAGAAGCTCAGAGAGGTAAAGTGGAGCAAAAGCAAACAGAGTTTTAAAATGAACTCTAAGATGAACAGGCAGCCAATGGAGTGAGGCGAGGATGGGAGTTATGTGCTCTCTTTTACCAGTTCTGGTTAAAAGTCGTGCAGCAGCATTTTGGACCAGCTGCAGACCAGAAGACACCGACTAACTCCACAATAGAGCACGTTACAGTAATCCAAACGAGATGAAATAACAGCATGCATTACTGTTGCAAAACGCGGCCTGGATGAAATAGTCTTACCTTTACCAAACGCCTTAAATGATAAAAACTGACTTGACGGTGGCCCTAATGTGAGCGTCCATTTTAAAACCCAGGTTAGTGACAACAGGTTTAAAATACTCTGCCAGGGGTCCCGAGTCAATAGCAGAGGGTTAGAAGGTCCGCTAGGACCAAACACAATCACCTCAGACCGTCTCCAGTCACAGATGCCACTTACGCTCCAGAGTAATGTCACCTGGCTTATAAACAAATACAGACCAGTAACAACGTTTGGTCCAATGTTAACTGTGTTTGCACTGCAACTATAACAATAAACAACATCAAACTTACTTTTGATTCAGAATCCGTATTTAAGAGCCGAGAGTAGAGCAATGCCAGTGTATCAGCTCAGGGTGAGAAACTTCCAGATCCTCAAGCATGTGGGAAACACCAAGATATTCAAGTGTAGGAGACAAGTCAGTGTTGTAGTCATTTAAACTGAGTTATTTAACTAAATAATATTTGAATACATTTAAAAGAATAATTTCAACTAGTATTGACTTTACACTCAGACTTTACATTTTTTTTTTGCTTCATTTGATCCACATCACAGCAGCACGAGGGGCAGCAAGAAACAGTGAAGCCGAAATAAAATAGAAAAAAATCAGAGAAAAGTGTAAAAGCAGATACAGTTTACAGTCAAATATACCGAGATTTCTATTCTGCACACATGAGGTGCAGTTGGGATGACAACATGTATGTGACACAGTATCTGTGTGCAGTCTGACTGCTGCTGGGATGGAAGGCCTGTGGTAGCTGTTACAGTCTCACCCAGTTCCTCTATGGAGTCTGGGAACTGGCCAGGACCCAGTTCGTCCTTTTTTACCAGTCTATAATCCAGTTCGTTCACCAGCTGTTTTTAAGTCACTCCTGAAAACCCACCTCTGTGACCTTTGACACCACGTGAGAAGTTGTTTTTATTGTTTAGTCTGATTTTAGTTGTTTGTAGTTGATTCTATGCTCTTTTATCTTGTTTTCTTTTTTAATATGGTTGTTTTAATTTTTATGTTTTTATTTTTGCCGTTTTCTGTTATTCTGTTGTTTTTAACTTGTACAGCACTTTGGCCCTGTGCTGGTATTTAAAGTGCTTTATAAATAAAATTAGACTGGAGTTCCTGTCCCTCTCCATGCCGCCACCTCCCCAGCAGACAACAAGATGGTCCACCACACCCCAGAGACCGCCTCAGACTAGATGCATGTAGGAGTGGCATAAAGTGGAGGGGAGTGGTCAGGGAGGGTGGCGGGAATTGTGATAGTGGAGGAGTGTGGAGCAGCCTCGGGTGGAAAGAGGGAGAGTGTCATTATCAGCCCAGCACGAGCTCCCGACACAGGGGAGACGTACCCGGGCACCAGCGTGCAGCGTTCGTGTGGGAGCCCCGTCCATTACGCGTCCCCCCCCACCCCACCCCAACACACACACACACACACACACACACACACTTTGGGAACCACTGCATTAGCCCAGTCTGTGCTGCTTTGCTCCCTCCCATCCTTCCACATCCTCAGATTCTCCAGCTGCTCCGTTTTCCTTCTGTCTTGTCCCTGCCTTAGTTTCCATATTTGTTTCTTTTATAATTTATTAAATTGCATTTTAAAAAAATGTTTTATTTTATTCTCCCTTGGGGAGGGGGGGCCGGTGTGAAGCAGGCTGCTTCTAATAATTATGTCCCCTCGGGGACATACTAGGTGGGCGCAGCAGCACTGCCCGAGGACAAAGCTGACCTTGGAACCAAATTTCAAAACACGACACTGACGAATATATTATCTCATCATAGATCAAATTAGTCGTAATCTGTTCCTTGCAAGGTCGTGGTTATCCTCAGGATCACCTCAGATCTGTGGCGTTATTTTAGTGCCTCTACTCTGAGCGCACGTAAAAATAAATAAATCTGCAAGTGCAAATGTTGCGTGTTGAGGAGAAAACTATTTTGAGTGAACAAAATTTATTGCTGCGTGCAACAAATGTGTTTCAGTGTTTGTGATTATTCACACAGAATAACAGCCCCTCCCACTAACAACATCTCTGCTCCCTGCAGGCTCAACACTGTTATAAATGTGCCACAAAACCAACCAATCAGACTTGGATGCAAACATTCTGATTGGCTGTTATTGTCTCCAGTCAGCTCCCT